CCAGAAACATTGTAGTTGAACAACATATTCCAGCAAGAAAATATGAAATAATCGAAGTAATTCTCATTCCTGCAGGTTTTGCACACTCAATATATAAAAGAAACTCGATACGTTTAACGAAAGCATACAATGTTACATTGAGGTAAGGGTCCCCTGAAATTCATGAAAACGCTTCACAAGCGTGGTTATATTGAATTTAGATAAAATCGAATGAAAATTATGGAGATGAAATTTACCTACAGATTTTTGGATCAAAAAGGGAAAGCATTTTCTACCTCGTGGTACATGTATCCCAAAACCTACGAATGGATATATTTGCAGATAGTATTTAACGAAAAAGATAATGACGAATCCACAACATAGACATCGACTTGACTTGATAATATTCAATATGCAGGCCCCCAGTTTGGAATAATAGTAAATTGCGCGTGTTGTTTCACAGCATGGTATTGTGGGTTGCACAAAAATGGTAATAAAAGTGGGTCGCGAACTGAAATAGTTGGGAAACATTGACGTAGTATATATGTGCGTTGCTTGCCAGTGAATATTTGTTTAACAAATTTTAGCTCGTTGCTTTTTTGTGCCAATGCTTTGAACTTGTTGTCGTAAATTTAATGACGTTGTTCTGCGTAAGTGTATCATGCGTACCATATGTACCGTTACTTTGCCATTGCAATGTCACATTACCCTTTATCTCGATTTTCTGGTTTGCTTTTCATTCTAGCAATATACATAGTACAGTGAATGTCAGGTACAAAGATACAGTTACATCTAAATGACGATTCTCAAGGAGAGGCTCTTTAGGGATCACGAGAGACACAAAAGGGCCCAAACCTTGAAGCGGACAATAGGAGGGGGAAGAAGCGAGAATACATCGATATACGATTTGTTAAAATATCGCAAAGTTCACCAACCATGAGTTAGGCTAGTCAGAGGGAAGACATATAAATTATATCATAGACTGAACCTGAATGGTGAACTACTTTTCCCACGTATGTTTTTGGCAAAAATAGGGTTTTCACTTTTCATTCGTTCAACTTATTTGTAATTATTTTTTTCTTACCGTCGTCTTCTATAATTTCTGGAGGATTGCCGTTAGAAGATGATGATGTAGGCTAAAGAATGCCGTTTACGCTTAGAACTTTCAATATAATCTAATTGTAATCTTAATAATTCTAATGATAAGCATATATTAAAAACTTTGTGAAAAATAACTGATATTTTTGCTTGTCGCATGGTTTTATCCCTTCAACCCTTTCATTTGGGATCGAGTATAACAACAGTTTGATTCCCCATTCATTTTCCCGTTTTATTGTTCAATATACCGGATCACACATAGGGTTTCACAAATGTTCTTCAGGTTATTTCGAGGATGCCTGACAAAAAAAAAAACTGTGAGATATAACTTCTTTCGCTGGTCTTGCTTTCAAACGCAAAAAATAAAATGCGATCATTTGAATGGAATGGTGTGAAAACTATTACCCACTTATCTTTATCGTAGATCTCACGTATTGCGAAACCGTATAATCCCAGAATACCGACAAATTGCCCGAACAATCTGCCATTAATCTACATAGGCTTTTTAGAACCTCTTTCGGCTATACTTTTAGATCAGTTTTTGTCTAACCAGTCAGACTTCTCCAACAAAAAAATACACTTAGAGACTTCTTCACTTAAAGACACTTCTAAATATGTTTTACGCAAATTGTATATTAGCGTAAAGAATAAACAATGACTAATATGTTACGTATATTAACGAATATTATACTTTCTAATCAGGACAATGGATAAGGAAAAAAAACAATGAATAACATTTTAAATAGATTTGGGCTGTTAGGTGAAACCGTCAGTAAATCTGACCGCAACGAATGCTTTTACATTCAGTTCTTATTTACAATTTTACCACTTGTCACTTACCAGAAATGTCACATTTTTGAAAACAATACGATGCCGTGGACGAAATGAATCACTGGGCCACATGCTACGCTAGTAAAAAGTCATTGTAATGGAGTTATCAGCTGTCATTCTTACCTGGGTTACAACACAAGTGATTCTTACCAGCTTTTCAGAGCACTGGCAACATTTCACAACAGACAATATGTTCACTACAGATGTTTGTGATAAGATGTATATAGTATACGTATAAGATATCAACTCTTATCAGCCCTTCCAATTAGAACCATGTATGAATGGATAAATATGCAATATCCCGGCTAGAGCTCGTTTCAAGTTCCCTCGAAGAATTCCAGAGGTTTGGTCTTCAGAGTGATATTGTTACGTCATTAGCCAAAAGAAACCTAAGAATCAAAACTTGGGAGAGTATTCTGTAATTGAACGTACAAGAACCTGTGTATATATATATTGGCACGTGAGCATTGTGAAGAAAATAAACGAAATCAAACAGTTTTTTATGTGCGATGATTCCATCAAAATGAGAATTGCGCACCTTGTGGCGGTTTTGCGTGCTTTATGATGGACAGGCGATGACTGCGGTACTGGTAGTCTGATGTAGAAGATTTCATATCAGTACTACTTCGTTTTGGTTTTTGCGTCCATGCATTTGAGCATCGTTATCTTTTATTCAAACTAATCGGTTTTGCTGTAATGAGACTTGAAGATGAAAAAAAAAATTAATTCTATTCGAAGGAAAATTTGAAGATTATCCGTTTTAATGATATGACTAAGAGATATAAAAAATTGTACTTTACCTCATATATTTAATTGTAGCCCACTAGTAACTACTATTCTTTGCTGCAAAGGTACAGATGATGTTTTGTTAAATTCCACCCACGGAGACGTTTTCAAGAAGACTTGAATTTGCGGAATGACCAATTTTCGCAAATATATATTTATCAATCAGTTTTGGTATATTTATCGACGTAACATTGGAAGATGCGCCAATAAACTCCAGAATTATTTAAGTGAACACATTAAATAAATTCAAATACCACTCTTAAAAAACAGTCATCTCCTTCTTACATTACGTGACTACGAAAGGATACGCCAGCAGGTGGCAGGACTCTTAGATCACGTGACTACCAGGGGATACGCCTGCAGGACCAGCCAGCATGTCCGCCCTATTACATTATTCTGCCTTGTCTCTCATCAACAGATACAAGACCAAGCCTATACTACTTCTTCTACTGCTTACTACTCACTGAAAATTGATTTCTTTTTCTCTCCTATATTCCAGATACTCGCGTATTTCGCGGAAGGCAATGCTGTGCGTGATTTGCTCATTATGCAAGACAGCTCGGCAGTTCAGACATCATTTGCATTAGCTCTACTCTACCGTTTAACTCAGCGAAGTCAAAATATAATCGCGCAGGACAGAAATTCATTTCTTTATTTGTTTCATTTTTGACGATGGCTATATTGTATATTGTATCAAATTTTCAATATGGCACCTCGTAAATTGTCGAATATGCACGCTATCCATCTTTGACTGTAAACTCTAATCTGAGAAACACAGGTAATTTCCCATCTGCACAAAATATTGACAAATTGCACAAAAAGAAAACATCAAATAATCATGTTTATTTAAACAATATTTTAGCAACATTGTTTAACAGTTATATCAAGTTAACAAGTATCCCCAAGTGAACAGTGCATAACTTCTGATTAACATATATATTGTTTCATATTGGAGTCTAGATTCTAGCAGTAGATAATATATAACTAAATTAGTAAACTGGTCAACAACAACTAACGAGTTAGTCAACGGACAGAAGTCAATACAAATAATATATCAGCAGCAGAGTTCTTTTTACAAATTTTATTACAATTCATATAACATTAGTCAAAAATTGAGGCATCAGCTTATGTACGCGTATCCGTAGACTGCGTAGAGCAGTGGTCGGCAATCTTTTTCAAGTGACGGACCGGTAAAGCTTGACCAAACTATTGGCGGACCAACTTTATACGAATGAACTAGGCCTATGCAATAAATTATACGCATTAGGAAATTTATGTTGACAATATACTAAAAACGACGGTGATGCTATTTAATGTGATGTCTGTATTTGTTTGATGGCAATTAACTGTTCCCATATTCGAGATATGGTCGACATTGACACACGTATTTTTTTCCTTCCAGCCTATTTCGTTTTTGTAGTTATCAATATTGAAAATCAGGCCTCACATTAAGATTTCGAAAGGTTAACAATGCCTGTCTCGTTTTGTTGGGGAGATCTTAGTCGGACTGATGAGAGACATTCTTATACGAGCGTAGAGAAAACAATTGACCCAGCATTATTGCGACATACTGACATGGCAATTTTTTATGAAATCAGACATGTTGCTCAATAGTGTTATGCAGTGGTCGGCAAACTTCATGTACTTGCGGGCCAAATATAAGCATTTTTGGTAGCGCGCGGGCCGCAATATTTCCGCCTTCGAACAATCGCTACCATAATTAAACTTCAAATTATGGCGCATTCGCATTGCTACTCTTCTATTGCTGTGTTGAAAGCCTGTCCCAATGAGATGTATAGGTGGCGTTTTAATATCCAACAATACATTGTTTTTATGTACTTATTATCAATGTAATAGATGATGTTTTATGGCAACTCGTCCAAATGATGATCTGACATGCGAGTACGAAATTTAATCTAAGTGTAATGCATTTTAGATAAAGCTGCTTAAGGCCATATGTTCTTCCGAACGTGCACATTACACGTTTTGCACTGTCGCACTGATGAGCTGTGGCGCAGTCCCGGGGTCGAATTTTCGACGACTCGTTTCGTAACGAGTTTAACATTGAAACCCTTAACAACTGCGATGCTGACTGGGCATATCGAGCAAACCGATGGGCATATCGAGCAAACGATGGGCCGCGGCCCGGTGGTTGCCGACCACTGGCGTAGAGCCTTATTTCAATGTGACGTGTAATGCCATTCATATGTTCATGTAGATATATTTGTGATTATTAAATCTATCAAAACTTGACCTACATTCTGCATAATGTCTACAATCAAAATGGATTTGGACGAACTGCTAGCTGAAAAGTTAGGAGGAATAAGTACTTATCAGATCATCATAGTCGTAGCTGTAAGTGTTCTTCCGTTTGGAACTTCATTCATGGCCCAGTCATCGGTATTTTTTAGTGCAGTGCCGTATTACAGGTGAAGTAAAACTTTTACTATGTTCTTATTGTGACAAATATAGGTCATGATGAAATTAATTTTGATAACACTCTTTGCTGCACTGAAATTCCAATTGTATAAATGAATACAAACTGGAATAATGCAAACTACCGGTACATTCCTCGCAATCCCAATGTAAAATGTAACTGTTACTAAATTAATTTACGTTTGATTTATCGCAAAACACCCGATTAACTGAGTTTACTCACTCTCAAAACTCTAATCAAAAATGCTTTTTAAACTTTGGCTTACATTTGGAATCTCAAGTTGTAAAAATGCCAAGCGAGATAAACAAACTCTCACAATGGCAAGCTATGTCCTACTACACTACATTGCCAGAAATATTTATCTTATCTGTAATGTTTCCTCAGAATCCCGCAATTGAATTGTTCAAAATTGATTTAACAACGCTATCAAATACGACTGCTTCATTTAAAGTCAAATTTTGATATTTGTATATATTTATCAGTAATGGTGCGTAAAACTAACTCCCAATGCTTTCAAATATACATAAACATGGTGAAATGTATAAAAACCTCTAAGAAAATTAACAAGCATGTTTCGTATACCTAAGCGCAATACTAAAGTCATCAGGTAAGGTAGATGACTGGCAACGTCTTGTACCACAAAGCCAGAAAATGTGTAGTACGCTATTGGAATATAGGCCCACTTCCTTTTTTTATTAACCTTTCAACAAGATCTGCTACGATGAAATCAGAAAATCCCAATGCCTGACTGCGACTATATTATATAAAAACAGCATATACCAACCTAACATATACGTGCTCCACACAAAACTCAACCAGAATATATCGATACCCTGCAAAACGTGCCACAAGACAAGAATGTGCCCTTTTCACGTGCCTTTTCTATACTTGTTCAGGAGTATTCTGAACAAAAATTGTGTCGAGGAACTTACCTACAAAATGTGAATTTAAAATATTAGCTTCGTCGAGCTAGAGTGCCCCAATGGGTAACTACTAGCATTAAATTTTAAGCTCAAGAATAATTGTAATTATCAGAAAAAATCATTAAACTATGAATAACAATTTCTCGCTGTTTATAGCTATTCATTATAACTATACCATTTGCTAAATTTGGGTATTTTCACGGTAATCGGTGTTTTCCGCCAGCTGCATGTCCCAGCTGGTCAGTTACTACTTGTAACAATATTATTTGTAACTTATTGACCTTTAAAAAGGTTTAGAATCAACTTGCATCGAGAAAACATAAATAGAAGACTAAGATGGGTGACGACCTTGTTTTACACAAACTTGCTTATAAATAAGAAAATATTTGCAATTTTATTTATAATAGTTTATTGAGCACATGTTTTAATTTGTTTATAGGTGCTCGGTACCACCTTTGGATGATCCTCGAGTATATCCTAATTTAACTGAAGAAAACATAACAAATCTATTGATACCGGTGAGAAATACTATATCAAATTTTATTTGGCTAGGAAAAACAGGATAAATTGCCATATGAAGAATGCTTTTCAATTTTCGTTATTCAACTGTATTGCATGATAATTGAAACTATTTAAATAACTAATAAAGTACAATTTTATTATGTAGCCTGGGGAGCAGTGTTTTAGATACGATTACAATTTATCAACATGTACTGGCGATGGAGATTTGTCGTGCTTGGATAATCCAGACCCAGGGAAAATACAATGTGATAATGGATATACATACGACGATACTTATTATGAAGAAACCACAGTTTCGGAAGTAACTCTGTTGTTCAGCACATTTTTGAGTGTTATACATTTTTCTCATGTAAAGATTTTCGAACCAAATATGAATCCGTCCTGTCTTATGACAGGGGCACTGGCTATTTTCCAATCGACTTCAGAAATCCTTATCTAACAATATTGAATGATTTTGATGTATCGATTGATTTTTTCTATAAAATTGTATCTCTAAATAGATTTTACTCTGTCCGTGAATGAATATTTATTTTTTGTTTCGTAGTGGGATCTTGTTTGTGGGAGGACAACGCTAGACTCTGTTGCAATTGCAATGTATTATTTCGGTGTTATGATTGGTGCCTTTCTTGCTGGACCACTTCTTGACTGGTACGCATCACATCTATTTGCTGACAATTCAAATTAAAATACAAGATCGATTTACGTATTTATAATATCATATATCATCGAGTGATATTTTGAGACTGATCATGATAAATATAACTGCACTGTCTCGGACAAAAATTAGAGAACGATGGTTGATTAATCTGTCACCCCATGCACCACAAGTTTGCTGATATAATTTGATTGATTCAGCTTATCTTTGACTGATTTACAATTGTTTTGGTTTAAAGCATAAAGTAAAAATATTTAACATAGAGGTATTAGTAAGTCGCTCACTCGTTTCTACTCTTCATGTATGTTCAGGTTTGGAAGAAAGGTGTCTATGCTGATTTTTGCATTCATTATACTTATTAATGCAATCGTGACTGCCTTTTCACCGTCCTACGGAGTCTACATCGGCATGAGAACGCTTACTGCAATCGGAAATTCTGCATATCTTTGCTACTTTACATATGGTAAATATTATATTATCGTTCCATACTGAATCGAAATGAAAACATACGATTGTTTGTTCCAATTAGTCGTGAGTGTAAGTGGTATTTGTTTGCGTGTCGGCATTCAGCGTTCTTGACCATAATAGAAGACCCACAACTATATTTTCAAAAAAATATACGGAGAAGGCATCAAGAGGACAACACATCTTCAAATATTTATATTATTTAAATATCTACGTGGTATGTCTTTTAAACTGTTTGTTCGGTTGCGAAATCACAATAAATTTTGTGATACGCACGCACAATACATATACACATACACCATACGCACAATTTGTTGGGACAGATCCAAACAGAAAATCAGTTTTGCGTTATGTGGTTTGGCCGCAAATGAAACAATTCTCTTGAGAATACTAATTTCGCGAAAGAATGAATGAGAATTAAATTCCAATCGAGTATGTATTTATAAAAAGCTCACCATATATATATATATATTTCTGAGAACATTTGCTCAAACAAGGACGTGGGAAGTTAACCAGAAATTAAAGAAAAAGATCACTGAGTGGAGTTACGGGCGACCACTAAAATGCCAAGAGCTACTGACAATATAAAGAATCATAATTCTAGATAGCGCCTTAGTAAATGCCGATTGACGCATGACTTGAGTTCACGCCAATGGACATTTCCCCGACCCTTGACCCCTGAAAAATTCTCTCTATACTTTATCATTGCAAATTCAACGCTGATTTTGAGAGTGTTTTAGAGAGTTGGCGCTTACAGACTGGCTAACATGTTCAAAACTTATAGGTAGCCTACTGATAGCTAATTTTAGGCTAGTCTATCGCAGCGTTTGCGATATCAGTTCTGACGCCAATCCTATTTGATATTCGTTTCTGAACACAATATGAGGAGGTCACAGGAGAGCCAGTCTAAATATAACAGCAATACTCCATGCATAGATCTATCAGTGATTTGTGCAAGTGAAATATGCACTCATGGAACAAATATCGGAGAACATGGTAATGATTCGATATATATTCATTTCAATTCAAATCCTTGGACATAGTGAGCCCATTCAGATGAAATTTGAATGATTCTTTTAGTATTTCCTCCGTTGAAATTGGAACTGTATCAGGATTGTTTAAAGATTGATCAACATGACGTTTTTGAGTTCAGAGAGACCTTCACTGATCACCTCTTTTGGAAACCCCAATCAAGTTCTATTCCGACTATTTAGCAAGTTTAAAACGGCGTTTTCACTGGACTTCGCATCAAGACAAAAATAAAGAGTATTGTCTTCAGCATAAATGGGAATTGTAGATGAGATTATCTGAAAGATCATTGATGAATTTAGAAAGAATATAAGTCCATAAATTGAGCCTTGATGAACTCCATAAGATAGAGGGTTCGTCCGAGAGCGTTGGCCATTCGATCAGACAAAAATGATTTGATAATGTCAAAAATCTGACCAGATAAACCATAGGATCGAATTTTACGCAGGAGTCCAACTTGCCAAACTCTATCAAAAGCTTTTGAAATATTCAAGAAGAGTGATTTTGATTTAGCCTCACCACTTCGATCCGATGACGGAATATAACTGTCAGTTATACCCATTAACAGATCAGCGTCAGAACGTATTAAACGCATTAAAAAAACTAATGGAAATACAAAAGCTGATTCATTCAGTTTATATTTTGTGATTTTTAGCCAAATCCATTCATTTTCATGTATTTACAAGAGATTATGATTTGTACAATAAAATAATGCGTTGAAAAGAAATGCTTCTGGGAAGAGCAATCCGCAAATCAAAAAGCTTCTTTGATCGAATGCTAGTATGATCAAGAATTGATTCATTGATTTTCCATTTTTGTCGCTCTAGTTATTGGTAATTACTCCAAAATAACTTTTCAGGCGCTGAAGGCTACGTTTTTGTTTATGTCACACCTCATCGACATATTTTCGTACACACTTCAATACCATCATCTGTGATGTGCCATAATATTTTGACGTTTTTTTTTCAAGTCAGCGAAATGGTAGACAAGAAATCAAGAACACCAACAACAGTAGGGGCAATGCAGATATCAGCACTCGCCCATACCTGTCTGCCTGGTTTTGCATATTTTCTGCGAGACTGGAGAAAATTATGTCTTTGCCTTGCGCTCATAAATGTGTCCTACATTTTTGTATATTTCTTCATACCTAGATCTTGCAGGTACGTAACAAGAGTTCTGTTTTTGACCTAAATAGCGTGATATTTCCCATGGTAACAGCTTCAAAATAGGTATAAACTTTATTACTTTACATCGGTAATCACACAACAGTATATATTAAAGCAGTTCAGCGTTCTGTACTACGTTTATTGGACGCGAAGCGGACCTATGAATCGTTTTGTTATTTTGTTGTTGTTGATCATCATGTTAGTATTTCTTTTCTTCTACTTCTTGTTGTGAAAGAAATCGCTTCTCTCATTGACAACTGGACCTATTGCTTTGAAAGTATCAGTGGTTAAATATTGTATATTTCTCCAGAAGGCTATCACTTTTATTTATTTCCAAAATTTGTGTGTCCTCTATGGGATTCGTTTTTTGTGTGCGATGGCGTCATCAAATTTAACAATTGCGCTCCTTGTGTGGTTTCGCTTTCTCGTACGTCCAAGTCTGCTGCTCATCTACGACACGGTACCGGTAGGCTACTGTGACAGATTACTTCGTGTCCATATATTTGAACATCGTTTATTCTTCAGGTGGTTATTGACAAATAATAAGGCTGAAGAAGCCAAGATAACAGTACAAAGAATTGCCAGATGTAACAAAATTGAATTTAATGACGACGATTGGAACCTTGTAGTGAAGACAGAAAAAGAAATACTCCAAGTAACCCACAGTATTAATTGATACAAAAAGTTATGTCGCCATTGCCATAAAAGTTCAAATAATGTTTGTTTAAAAAAACTTCTATTCCATTGTTAATGAAATTTTCTTACTAAAATTCAACTCCTCTGTGTTTTGTCCAATACTCAAACTATCGTAAAAATTGGAGGCCTGAAAGAGCGCTGTAATTCTGACGGGAAAAATATAAATTAATTACATTTAGTAAGTCAAAGAACAATCATAATTTGATGATTTAAATGTTGCCAATTTGTTGCAGGTTGATATTCATATATTTTCAATTTTTATAAAATATATTTCAGATGTCTCAAAAGAAAAAGAAATATTTCATGTATGACTTATACCGACCAACAATGATGCGTTTTGTATCTATAAATATTATCTATTTATGGTTTGTTGTTGCCATGATATTCTACGGATTAACACTCAATGTCAGAACGTTAGTAGGTGAATAATTGCTCTGTTTGTTTCACCTTGCATATCCGATCAAAATATATTCACAATCACACAAATTATTTTGGGTTTGAGTACTCGATATTGGTGTCCGACCAATATAGTCTAATAATAAAATTTATTAGGTGCCTACTTTTCACTACATTGTGCAATGATATATATCTGGCTGTAATACAAGAACAATGTAATTAATTAACAGTTATAATCCTTCAACGTTAGGTTTATTTCTTCCCGTATTTAAAATCTTTGCACAAAATAAACTTTAAGTTTTAAGTTAAAACGGTAATAGCTGATAACCAAACCTCTATCAAACAGTGACAATTCAAGATTGAGTACTCCCGCAGTATGTGTACCAGGTTAAGGTTAGGCCATAATTTGATTCCGATTTTTCCTATTTTAGTTCTATTACGAGTTCGGGGTACTGTTTGTGTCAGCCAAGTGAATATACCTCCTGCCCATGGGCCTCCGTCCCTTTACACAACTTGATGTAAGGTACGCGAACAAAATTGGTATTATATTTGTACACATACTTCTGGGGCGCACAAGGTTGTAATATTACTGATAAATTCAATGAATTTATATAATGTTGTAGTTTTCTAAGAGTTACTCGGACGTATACAAATAATATCCTAAAATATCGATATCGATAAAATTATAAGGTAATATTTATTTCCTTTTTCAAACTTTGATTTAGTTCATATTCATTTGTTTTACAGGCGATCCATACGTTAACGCAGCCATAAATGCACTGGTTGAATTTGTTGGATATTTCGTGTTCTATGCATTTGCTGGGCCGGTTGGAATGCGAATAACGTCGAGTATTTCATACTTTCTTGGAGGAATGTGTTGTATAACGACAATGTTACTTTTGCAATTTGCAAATGGCAATCAAGGTGTCCTAATACAAAATAGCATATTTTTTGGTACTCCAGAAGTATGTCCACCAAGATGGCGGACACCGAAATGAAGTATGTGTACCAGATTAGGGTTAGTCCATAATTTCAGGTGCAAATACTACGGGAGTCACTTGACTAGTCTCCGAACTCGTAGTAGAACTAAAAAAAGGGAAATTGGAATAAAATTAGAGTCTAACCCGAACCTGGTACACATACTATATTCCAGTGTCCGCCATCTTGGTGCACATACTTCTGGAGCGCCTTTTTTTTCATATTGACCAAAAAGTCTTCTTATTTTATTATTCAAGCATATTAGACTGTAAACTTACAGACTGTACGACCACATAGTCCAACAAATTATCAAATATTTCTGAATAATATTCTTTGCAAAAAAGTCCGAATGAACACAACTTTATATTGAAAAATTTGGATTATCAATAAAGCGAAAGAAAATCTCGACAAAGAATCTCAATCTCATTTCTCTTATCTATTGGCATTAGTATTGTCATTTGTTGTTTCATAACACTGGTGAATAAATTTGAACTTTTCAGCAATGCTAGAAGCCAGTAGATGGGTGGCAATTTTAGGAAAATTGTTCGCAAGTACATCTTTTGCTGTTGTTTATCAGTACACCGCTGAACTTTATCCAACAGTTGTCAGGTATTACAAAGTAAACTGTTTTGTCACTTCAGTACGATGTTCCCATTTTATAGATTTCGTTTTGTTATCTTAGAGGAACGGGCTTGGCAATGGGATCCATGGCAGGAAGACTGGGCCCTATCATAATGCCTTTTACATTGCAACTTCAACAGACAATTCCTTGGCTTACACAGGTATCTGATGCTCCATATTTGTGAAGTACTCATCAAATATGTGCTTTTTTTACTTTTTATTCTCCCGAGCCGAATCATATTTAAGTTTTCATTTTTGTATGTATGTTGTCTTCAATTACAATAGTGATTCTCACATTCCTCGGCAATCGACTCTCTTGCCTGTCACAATTTCGCGATAGTGTACGCGCAAAATATTCTGCTGAAAACAGTTATTACGAGTCAAGTAAGTATTCTCAACCTGACAGCATTTGTGTCTGGTCTAGTCATTCCTATGAAAGCCAGCATTGAACTTAACAAGCACAATACCACGAATCCACATGCCAATACAAAACTGTATCCAAATGATGATGTGTGTCCCGGAACGAATACTTGCTTTTTTAGTCCACTATATACCGAAACCCCGATCAATCCAAAAAGTCCTGTAAAAAGGGATTATTAAGTTTTAGTTTTAATACGTTGTTAGGTTTTATGGAATAAATCGAGAAAAAATTAGCAAACACGTTCAAAATAATACGAATTAATATTGGAGATTTTATAGATGGTATATTGACTGTTTAATATTCATTTCTCAATGTAGAAAGTTTTGTATGGTGCCGGTAAAAGTTTGATCAGCGTGATTTTACGACGTAATATTAAAACGGCCAAATTAAAAGGACTTTTTGCTGCTGAGCATATGTGGTGTGAGCATTAGGCAATCGTACGTTGTTCAAATACGTTTTCATGAATCAACTTGAAACGTTGTTTCAATTGCACAAGTTGGATTATAACACTCAAGTCATTGATATATGAATCCTCATGAATGTCTTGATGTAACGATTTCTTACCTGCGGTTGAAAAAAGTACGCCACCGGTGAAGCCATGATTAACATTTCGAAATTCATTTCCTATTACAAAAAAAATTCCAACACCCAATATAAATAGAGGCAAAATAAGAGAAGCTGCTGCCAGATCTTCTGCTCTCCCCCTTCCGTCGGAGAATACTAAAAAACAAAATAATAGTCTTCAAATTATCAATCAAGCCAGTAGTAATTTCAATTTCAAAACAAAAATACCAACGAAGCATATCAAAAACTCGTTAGATATTCAACCCTTTGATCCGTTTTCAGGTAATAAGTAGTTATTATATATGAATATCTCATAATATATTGCATTTTTGTTTCATCAGTATAGTACCAATTTTCATGTTAAAAATTATCAAAGCGGAATCGATTTTAAGAGTATACAGTCGCCACATTTTTTCACCCGTCATTAATTCTTACCTAACGTATGGCATTTAGACATCCTGCATTCTTGAAAGAGTCCGCTGGTGGTAACTATGGTTATTCCCAACATCATTCGGGATGTGGTTAACCAGCTTGTTGTGGATAAAGCAATAACATCAAGTAAAACGGCAAGTGACGCCAGTGACGTAGTAGTTACCATTAATGAAACACTCATTTTCATAGAATGTTAAGATTTAATATTATAAATATATGTTTTAACTGATGAATAGGGTAAACAGATCCAAGTTTGCGCAACAAGTAACCAGGCGTTATCGCCAATCAGAAAAATTTGTGCAGATAATTTCGGCAGCATGTTCTGCTGGTATCCGGGCGAATCTAAGATGCTATGGCGTAACTTGAAAAATACTTTTATAGCAATATGCAATTTCCTTGCTGTTTTAATAGTTTTCATATCTATAAGTCGCATAGTCAAAATCATGAGGGTTGTATAAACAAACTGCCGATGCGAAATACGCTGATTATACGATTAGGTAAAAAACCCTTTTAGTATCTTTATTTAACCAGATATCAAGCTGTTTTTCTAAATTTAAACTCTCACTGGCTATACTGAGCAACGTACCTTATGCTGTATCTGAGCAACTGCTTTTGTTAAGACATTCTAAATTTAGTATATGACAGTCAGCATTGAAGGCTTGATCAATTCATTAACGCGCTCTGTATTATTTCCTTCCGCCTCACAGTACAATACTGAATGAAGTATTATTGTAACCATCGCCAGCTGACAATTTTCATATTAATAATATTTATACGAAGCGTATTTACATTATTAAACTTTAGCACTCAACTAATAAGCATTATTCGATTTTTTTCAAAGTAGCCTACTTTAAATCTTTTGAAGATATTTTTGTTCCGTTCCGACCGTCGTCGGGTGCGGACGTGTCAGCTTGAAAAGACTAGTGAATGCTACGCGTTGTATGTTTCGGTATCTGTAATCTGTATCGCGCAATATCAACATGAGCAAAGCCCATCCACTAAAATAAGAGAAGTTTATGGTGGACGATCCTTTTATGAATCTAGTCGTGTATGATGGAACAGAGCATAGAAAAGATGGGATCACTGCACCTGTTGGAATGGCTGAATGGTGGTCGTTCGTGGAAATTCGATATTAATGTTGGAAGCATTGGAACGGATACAATGATTTTAAATGGAACTAACCAAAAACGACAAAAGAACCCAATACCCCAATCCATGATTTGTGCATAGACTGCTATGGAACATTCAATCCATTTACCGAGCTTGTTTTTTAGTAAAAAAAACTTTTCACTGTGTTATTTTTGCAATATAATTGAAGTAGGCCCACAACAACACCATCATTTCTCGTCAGCGAGTGTTCTTTAATCCATATATCTGTATAGGAAAAGCACATACACGTCTCACATTTTAATTTGAATTTATAAGATATTGCCCGATGTCACATCGTGTTTTTGTTTTATTGTGTTTTGCCTGTTTTTGGGGGACGGGCACGTACTTGTACGTATTTAACTTTTTTATTAAGTTATGCCCGTCCTCCAGGTCCTCTGTATTTTGTTTGTCCCTTTGTTGTTGTTTTTTGTTTTGTTTGTATCAGAGTGACCGAATAAAATTGATTGATTGATTGATTGATAGCGTCAATAAAATAATAGCTAACATCGACAATAGTTTTTCTCCCAGTTTTTGCAATTTGTTTTTCCAAAGAAAGTGTAATTCTTGTTGATACCTATTGATATTTAGCTATTCTGTAAAACTTAAGCTTATGCTGATACTTTGGTGCTCCCGAAGTATGCGAACCAAGATGGCGGACATCGGAACGTAACATGGGTAACAGGTTAGGGTCAGGCGATAATTTTTTTCCAATTTTACTCATTTTAGTCCTATTATAAGTTCGAAGACTAGCCAAGAGCCTCCCGTAATATTTATACCTAAAATTATGGCCTAACCCTAACCTAGTACACATATTACATTCCGATGTCCGCCATCTTGGTTCGCATACTTCGGGAGCCCCGATACTTTTTTTATATTGGCACAAATATATTTTTCGGAATATCGGGTAAAATTTCGGCAAGTACGGCAGTTTAGGCATAGAGCGTTAAGTAAATAGTTATGTGTACAAATATAGAATTGTATGTGCAAAAATTATTTTACAGACAATATTTGGCACCCTCGCAATCATTGCTGGTGCAACGTCTCTGCTGCTTCCCGACACTACAAATTCCGATTTGATGACTTCAGTGGATCAGGCTGAAAATTTTTATCGTGATAATATGAAGATAACTGCAAGGTTATTCGGTGCGACCGCCGAGTATCAAAGGTATTTAGAAAATCGCTTTTTTCAAGCAGAAAATTTACCTGTGCAATAAATTGAAATTGGCCTATCATCGAAACAATCGCAGAATAGTCTAGAACAGTATTTTCCAGCCCCCTATTTGCCTGTCAAGAGCATTGTAGTATTCTTATTTTCATTTATTCTAGCAAAACTGATTCTACGACCAGTGGAACCAAATCCGATGATTACAATGAATGCGAAATAAAATGTGATGATGGAAAGGTCTACATTAATTCATATAAACTTTAATTCGAAGAAACAACGTCAATTTTTGACTGAAGTACGGCTTTGTTTCATCGCATTATATTATTAACTTTTAAATTAAATTCTAAAATTTTCGCACAAGGAAACCAACAGAAGTTTATTTCAACTTGAAACTCAAAATTGCAATATCAATTAGGGTTCATAAGTATTGATAATCATCGCATATGGTATATACAAGTGAAAATGGTGAAATAATTCCTAGAAAGCATTGCATATTTTCTTTTACTCCATGATTGTTAATTATTCAAAAATTTTCATATTTTGACCAAATTGTCAAACATACTCAAATATATATTATTTCCAAAGTTTGACTTTTAAGATTCTATCACGTGTCAAATATTGAAGATATTTGCACATGGAGAAACTCTTAGAAAGAAATACAAACTAAGAAACTCAATCATAATTGAGATTCTGAGTAATTAAAGCTTAGCTCGAGAAAGCAATGCTCAAATATATGAACACGAAGACTACGTGACAACGTCAAATTGTCTAATTTCGAAAAAAATTACTATATTTTCAACAATAACTTTTCAATTTGACGCCAAACTGACCTATTAGGACATTTTTAATACAATAATAAATAACAAAAATACGTCGCATTTCAGCCCGAAAGGGAGGTAAAATGACCATGCCATCGAATAGAATTATCTTATTTTTAACGATAACTATGCCATTTATTGTAGACAGTGTTATATAGGCGTTGAAAATTCTTTATCATCGCTAGTTTCTATATTTCTAGTTTTCCGACGACAAAATTTTTACAGTGAGACATCTATCTGATCCACGCGACACGACATATACCAAGTGAGACCTTTATTTAGTACTATACCATTTGGTGTATGCTATAAGAATTGAAATCAGTAAAATATGCCGCATTTTAGTCAAGTAATACAAACTTGAGACTTTGGTTCTAGATTGTTTGATTCGACGACACTTTGAAGCAAAATCCTTATGGTATAGCAATTAACCCCCAAATGGGGTAAATTGCAAGATGAAAATATGAAAACAAAGTTAATTTTTCCCAGAATTCAAACAAAGACTTTTGTAGGAATCAAATTACACCACTTTGAGGAACATAACAAGTTGCGTCCTGTCACTATCAAATTAAAATTTATATTCTCAAGATCTTTAGGCACTGATTGAAATAACTATATCTAAGTTCCCACCAGTAGGATGTACATAATTACCCATACTAAAATAATAAGAGTTTCTGTTTACAAGGACATCACGTTTTTAATATTATTCGCTATTCGATTAAGTATATATAGTGTAAAATATCTTTCAATGTTAAGCTAGTCCGGATAAAAAGTTACAAGATTGTGTACTGTGTGTTGTGTAAATCTATGAATAAAAGCAAATAGAGATTTTTAAACTTATCTCCATTCACGTGGACATTGACGACTGCCGGTGTCTATCGTCATACCGTCTGGTTGTCTGGTCTGGTCTGGTTGTCTGGTTGACATACTTGGGACAAAACTGCTGTCAGTCAAAATTTGTGGCAGAGCAACTAATCAAACCATTCAACAAACAACTTATGTGTAGTGGTAACTAATCACTATAATGTGACCAAATTCGTGTTTCCTAATATGAATTTTTAATTGGTTTGCTTGAATTTTCGAAATAAGGCTGGTGGGCATGGTTTGCACAAAGTAATCGATACTGGTAACCGAGTTCGCCCAACGTATAGTTTAAGTTTATAATGTGTGCATAAATTTTTATTACAGTAAAGCTACAAAGAGTATTAGTAATATAATATACTACAGCAAATTCTCCTCCAAGAATGACAAAATTCTTCTCCGGTTTGGAAACGTTGCCATAGCAGCCTGCGTTTAAAACGTGAACGATCTTGGCATCACAGATATCTCAAGTTCAGATCTCATGCCACCATTTCACTCAGAGTGTGATGAATTGTGTAGGCCAGGGTGGTCCAATGTTGCGAGGTTGAAGGGCCGCAAAAACTTTTGAGGAGATCTCGCCGGCCGCAGTCGGAGAAAACCCAAAAATGATCAAAACATCGCGAGTTTACTCACTTTAAATATATATTTAAGAATGAGAGTTTATCGTTCTAATCAGTTTTTCAAGGAAACTATATAAAGCCATCAGTTATTTCAAAATTGCTCCCCGATAAATATCGTGGTATTTCCGGTATCTTTTTCTCGTGTTTGGTTTTGTAATGTCGCTTAAAATTATATTCTTTCCTGACAACTATCACTTGAAAACGGCAGACGGCAGACACTGTGATTTAACGTTGTTGTGGGTAAGGAAATACGTTTACTCTCAGTTTACCTCGGTCATCTTTTTTCTACACTCATTGTATGATGAATTTGTGGCGTGAGCAAACCTAGTGCTACCGTCAAAAAACAACCAAGTCCTTGTAAGTTGGAACCTCGGGCCCAGATATAAAAAAACGGATCGCGCGGCGCTAAGTCAGCTCTGCGGTTCGTCACTGCTCTCACAGTGCCAACGCTTGAAAATAGAGAAGTGTTTTGACTAAAATAAAGGCACAAAACGTCTCTTCAAATGAGGAGTTACTTGACGCGAGCTCATCTCATTGGCTTGGTCCTGTCTGCACAAGACAATTCATTCCCCTTTCACCGATCACAGGACGTCATTTCCATATAGCCACCGTCTTGACGTTTATATATACAACAATGAAATTCCGTGACTTTAACAAATATCAATCCCGACATCGGGATCAGGAAAAGGACTATTCCCGGTTGGAATAGTTGAAAAATAAATCAAAATTGTTCTGCTAATAAATACAAATATCTGCCAATGGTTTAGTAGTTAGTGTACATAATAATTAGTATCTCCTTGCATATCGTTGGATATCATCGGATGCTTATGCCTGGTCTTGTTCGGATGAAAGGTGCGATTAAGCGTTGTATTAAAAGAGAAATTTGGTCTCCCCCTGGCTCAATACAGTAAATTCCTCTTTTTTTGCACAAGGAAAGAACAGCACTGTTATGAATTGATCGTTTGGTGGTGCTATTGGGTTTCGAAGCAATTTTTGTTCCAGCAAGGTTATTGGACACTGCTTATACGCATTTCACGCATATTCTGCTTGTGACTTCAAGTCTCAGACTAGTATAGTATATTTTTGTATAAATTACAACTGACCATTTGTAACATTTCTGTAATATTGGGTAATGGTACGAACATGCACGAGAATGACAAATGATGCTTTGGGCTATACGGTATATATACTATATCTCCGCGTCCAACTTCACCATGTGATTTTCAAATTTATTCACGAATGTGTAATTTTGCTTGATACTCCTATAGATTACATGACACAAAGTTCTGATAAGGTTCCAATTCGGGAAGGATACGGATATTTCTTACGATGAGTTGACTGCCTTGTTGAGTTTAAAACTTTATAAATATATGTGCTTCCAAAGTTTACAAATGCTTCTAAATTTAATCGCAGATCACGTCCATTTTTCTTGTGGCTTTTTAGTGTGAGTACTTTTTGTCATGCTCAAAGCAATTTTATTCACGATTTATGTATGTTAAATAGTCATAATGGAAAACACACTGCAACCTTACCGTGACATTATAATATTTGAAAGAAGCAAACTACTCGAAAGTTGTATCAGACAAAAATTGTGACAGTTTGATAGCGAGTCACATAATTATACGGCGTATGTTTTGAAAATAGCGAAATGTATATTATAATCCGATTATAATTCAACAGCCGCTGGATTCTAATAAATTGCGCATTCAGTGTTAATTTAATGACAGTTTGCTTACAGTACCACAGTCAGGATAACAGAATACAGTACGTAGATCATGCTAACCGTTGCCATTAGTATTATTTATCTAGATTTTCGTTGCCTATCTGGAAACCACGCCCGATGTAGTGGTTATTTTTTCACGATCTTTATCTGTTGATAAGACATGAAATTTCAATATATAATACTCTGCTGTGTTGAGTTCCAATAGGTAAACAAATCAGTCTAACAAATAAGAAAGTATGGTACTCCATGCTAAATAACACGAAGAAAAATAAACTACTTGAAAATTGACTACAAGCGTGTATTTGATTGATCACTTGCTGATTCAAATCCCAGACATGTTTATTGTTGTATTAAACAACAAACCATGTGTAACATTTCTGTAAAATCGGATAAAAATAAGGAAATGATGCTTTTAGCCTGAATATATATCTCGTCAGAATTCACTGAATGCATCTCAAATTTATTCACGTATCGTACTCAAACGCCCTAACTACCTCTAGTTGGCGCGGCACAATTATTTTGGCATATGTTATTCTTAACCCCCGCCTGGCTACGTCATTCAAACATTACGTCACTAAGACGTCACAATCACGTCATAGAACTTGCCAAAGAAAGCTACGATCGCCCTAAGGCCTAAATGGTATCTCCGCCGACGATAACCACCTACTCGCTAACGCTAACGATCTCTCTCATATATCGGGATCGTTACGACGAGAAAACGAGATTTTTCGATAACTTGCCAATTATACGAGATCGATAAGTAACAATTCTTTGCTACTTTCAGAGCAAAGATCACAATATTAAACCTTTTAAACGTATACAGCCAGATTCACTATTTGGAAAAATATTAGTCCGACAAATAGATTTGATTACTTTTCCTGTTCTATATCAGTGGGACTGCTGCTCCTGCATTACCGTTGATAGAGATTTCACATTGAGTCCATATTCTGTAACATTTGGAGAAATACACAAACTACTGGTTTCATTTTCAGGCTACTATTACAAGACTTAATAAAGTTTATAACTGAGAACAGAGATTCACAATCATATGTAGCTTAGATGAAAACATGGAGAGTAATGCAGTTGCGAAGTTTTTAAGACATGGAAAATTTTCGGGAATAGTTCGCTTTCTGCACTCCTCCCTTGTAGGCTACTCCCTTCCCTATCGCCTATATTTCTTTTGAAATCTATGTATAACAGTAAGTTAGCAAGTAACTCCAACCAACATGAGCTTTACAACTTCATAAATCAAGCAAAAATGAAGAAAAAAGGGTGGTGCAGACGATCTCTAATATGTAAAATTGTAGCCAATTTTATTCTGCGCTCTCCTCGAGAGCTCACTCATTTGTTACGTCATAATAAATTTTTTTGTAGCCATATGTCATGAAACGACAAAAAAAGTTTAGATAATTAACGAATTGTTAAACGAATAAACAAACACTGAGTTTCATCAAATAATAGTCTTATAACTTGTTATCTGTAGGAGAATGATCTTGTTTCCGACTTTCCGAGGCCTCGCT